AAATAAAGTTTTATTGGAACACAGCCATGCTTTCATGTACGAGTGTCCAGGGCTGCCTCTATGCTACACCAGCAGAGCTGAGCAGTTGCAACAGGAACCATCCGAGTTGCAGAGACAAAAACATTTACTACCTGGCCCTTCACAGAGGTTTGTCAACCCGTGTGAGAAAAGGCCTGGTGTGGTGGCTGCCTCCCTACCTCCACCTCTCAGGCCCAAGGAGAAACCCAGGGAGGTCACTGATACAAGCGTGCTCAAGAATGGCACTGAGGCTGTGGCCAGGCCATGAAGCAGGAGACTGGTCGTACGACATCAGCCCACAAGCGAGCAGCCCTTGGGGATCACTTAGTTTTACACCAGTGCCTCCCTTCGGAGCACGGCGTTCGACTGTGAAGGTGATCACAACCACACAGGGGCTTTGACACACTGGGCCCTTCAGGAGCTGCTAAAATCACAGATCTAATTATTCCCACACTCTACTTTGCCAAGAGCAGTGCTCTTAGAACTGCCTGCCACTTTAAGACACTCAAGTTTCTCTTTTCTTTCCTGTCCCTTTTAGTTACTGGTGCACTAAGACCAGGCTGGTCTAACACCATCCCTCCTGCCACGGTTGGGAGAATGAGGCCTAACTAAAGGCCGGTGTAAGCATGTCAGGTGGGTGAACCTGCAACAACTTTCAACTGTCCACACAGCATTCTGTCACCCACGCTGGGGATGGTGGCTGGGAGGTGACATGATGCCACCTTATTGGTTGCTCTTCTAGCTTTCCTTACCTGGCTCTGACTGAGTCCCAGTCTAACACCAACTTGGCAAGCTGTTTCCTCTGTTTTTGGATGTTGGGAATATCCACCTAGAAAAAAACATACCTCACACCAATTGGGATGAGCTTTGGGTTTCTGGTTTAACATTTAAAAGTGCAGTATTTATTTACGAACTAGAGGCCCGGTGCACGGAATTCATGCACGAGTAAGGTCCCTAGGCCTGGCCAGCCATCAGGGCCGGCCAGGGCCTCCCTACCCTGGCTGCCGCCCCCTGGTGGTCAGCACATGTCACAGCGAGCAACAGAACTCCTGGTTTCTCTTTGGCAAAGGATTATGAACCATCAATTCACTCCCTGAATTTCCAAAAAGAAGTGCATGTCAATGGCACTGATTATTGTTAAAGTTGCAGACACAAGAGAACTACTTGCTGCCCAGCCCGCACCAAAGCACCCACCTCTGCTATGCCACACAGGGGGTCCACAATCTCCTTCTCAACAAAGACCTCGTGCTGAGAGAGTTCGAGAGCCAGCTGATTCTCGGCATCTCCACACGTCTCCAGCATCCTCCTAAGAAACAAGATGCCCCAAGAACAAACTCGTGTTCACTGAATCAGGCACCTAGTTAGCACAGCCAGTTCTGCCCTCCATATGACGGAACACACGATGGCTGCCATGGACACCCCCCACCCATCCACTTTTATTGACCCACTGGGCCCCTGGCTCTTTCTCAAAGCAGTGCCTCTTACCCCAGGAGAGAGTCCTCTAGCTGTGTCGATGCCTCTTGCATGTTCTGAGCGAGAGCTGTCAGAGGGAGCTTTTTCTGGAAGGCAAAAGACAGTGCGTTTTTTTCGTTACCCATTCTAGGTTACCTGCTTCAGATCATTTCACTTGTTTCTCCTCCGGATACACAGGTAGGAGCCAGCTTGGCTCTGGTCTCAAAGGTATGAGTGGTGTGACTTAAGCTCGGCGTTAGTTTCCCGTGCCTGGACTATAGGGATGAGAATGGGGCGAGGTCCCAGGGCTGAGGCTGCCCTAAGGAGGGATTCAACACCAAGTACTCAGCACGCGTTCAGTCCTCAGTAAATGGCAGCTGCCATGTTGCTGTTGCTGTACTATTATTAATTGATCAAGTACACACTATGTCCCAGGCACTAGACATAGAGTTACTTTGATTATCACAACAAATAAATGCAGTAAGCTGCTCAATTTCAAAAACTTTTGCTAGAACAAGCATTCTTAAACTGGCTGTTAATTTGGCTGTAATAATAAAGATTTAGCTTTAGTTACATGTCTAAAACTATCTAGCCGAATTTCCAAATAAACTTTTTTAGGGTTTTAAGCACAAAGCCTCCTCTTTTCTTATCAGATTTGTTTTTCAGCTGAAAACGGCCATAAGAATCATCTGATTAATGTTCTAATTGCACAGCCAAGGAAGCAGGAGGTGGGGAGGTGAGATGGAATGGCCAGGCACCCAGGTGAGGGATGGCAGAGCCAGACCCCAGTGCCAGTGGCCTGAGTCCCGGGTTTGGATTTTCCACCACTGGCTGATAGCTCATCTCAGAATACGAGTAAGAGAGGAGGGGAAAGTAACAAGTGGGGGGGCTACACCACTGTAATCTGCTCACAGAAGGTACTGCCCGTTACAGTGCTCCACGTCACTCTGCCTTCCCACTAGAAAGGGCACGCACAGCAGACCAGGCTCCCCTCACTAGGGCACTGTGGCTTGACCTCAGCATGTCCCTCTCTTTCCTGCCTTCACAGGGCTCCACCTGACACACTCACAACGTGTTTGCTTGTATTGTACAGAGTCTCTCTGGGAGGCTGTATAAGGAATACCGGTGGCTCTAGAGAGGGAATGGTACCAGGAAAACAGGCTGGGAAGGTCTCACTGTATCTTCTTGGGTATATTCTAGATTTTGACCATGTAAATGGATAGCCTGTTGAAATGTAAAAGTAACCACAAGTACGTTTATCCCTCTGCCTTCCTCCCAAGTTATTTTCAAACAAGTAGTAGGCTTCGCCTGCCCCACTGCTGTCTCCACACTTCTAGACTAGGAAGACCCCTGAAAACGGGAGCCTGCTTTATCGCAACAGAGGAAAAGTTGCACAGTTCAGTCCTGCTGCCTTCCAAGGGCATTTCACACAGGTAACCGTGATGATCAAGAGAAACACACTTGGCGCAGCCCCGGAGCTCTCGGGCCTTTGGGGGAGGTCAGAAAGAGGAGTCTGTCTGTTGAGCATCACCCCAGCTCTCAGTGCCAACAGCCTGTGGCTCCCCTGCCGACCCCAAAGCCACAACAACCCTGTCTCCTGATGTGCAAGCATTAGGACATTCTGCTTATTTGACACATGAGCTCATTGATGAAGATGCGGTCCACCAACATCTAACTCCTCCATGGAGAGGTGAGGCCTAGGGCTTCAGTGAAAAAGCCTCACGTCGTGGTCTATAAAAGGCATGCCAACTGCACAAAGAGAAGCAATTCCAGATCGATACGACCCGCAATATAAGCTCTGCCGTGTCAATGGCTCGGGCTGAGGCCACTGCCCTGTCTCCCCTCAATTCTTTCCTCTTCACATGTGTAGGAGTTACTGGTGGGGCTTGTGGGATTTCCTCCCGTCTCTCCTAGAGCCTTAGAGACTGCTGTGACTTTCTCCCTATTATATGGCCTCTTCTGGTCACCCCTCTTCTATCATTTCCATGGTGACGCCTCTTCCCACATGCAGAGTGAAGACTTCCTCAGAGGCCAGTCTCGGGCACTTTTGTTTGAGATTGGGAAAGGAAGCTTAAAGCATTAGGTTTTAAAAATGAGGGCCAGGCACCCTTGCCCCTGCTCCCTGGAATATGCCCATCACCTGCCATTCATTTCCCTTCTGTAAAGCCAGGATACCACCTCCTCCAGGAAGCCCACCTGACTACCCCTCTCCTCCTCTGGTGCCCATTCTTGGGCCTCCCATAATACCCTGTGCATATTTTATTTAGCATGTTGCTTTATAGTCATCCATTTGTGTGTATCTCCCCCACTAGGCTGTGGGCACCTTCGGGGTGGAGATGGCCTGTTACTCATCCAGCATTTGCACATGGTATGTCTTGTTCCTTCTGTGTCTGCTTTGAGGCACAGCCCTGCTGTCACATATACTCATTAGACACAAATAAACATTTATCAAACACCGAACTGTGTGGACAATGCATACAGCATGAAGGAAAGGAAACAGAGACAATGGGACTGATAAGGGGAAATTCAATCTTATTAGCAAGGGCGTAAGTCATGCTAAAAGCTTAGACCTTAACCCGAAAAGGCAGCATGTCCCTGGCAGGCGCTGCTGGCACTGGGGCACCTTCAAGTGTAGAACTATCCCTTCAGACACTGCAGATGTTGGGCGCTTTGGTTGCCTACCCTCCAAATGCCGGTAGTGTACCTCAGTCCCTATGGCAACCAAAAATGTTTCTACACATTTCCAAATATCCCAGGAGTATAGTCTGGTCCCTGTGGAGAACAACTAAATGAAGTTTTTTTTGTGTTTTGTTTTGTTTTTGGTCTCTTTGTTTTAAGGCAGGAGGGTGGCAGGGTTAATCTGTATTTCAGGAAAACAAATCTGGTGACCAGGTTGAAGACAGTCTGGAAAAGAGGGTGATCAGGGCAGGCAATGCCACTCCGGAGGTGCCTGTGGCAGTCCAGGTCTCGCCTGGGAGCCAAGTGGCGGAGTGGGAGGAGAGGGGAGGGGAGGAAGTCAAACAACACTCAGAGAATCACAAGATATGCTCACTGAGCCGCTCCAGGACACTGAGGGCAAACTGAAAGGGACGCAAGATAACCCCGCAATTTCTAGCTTGTGGAACTGGGGCCTAGAATTTGAGTCAGCACAGAACTGGTTATGCATGCCAGAACAGACAGCGAGGGGAGGGAGCTTTCTACTTGGTTGAAAGTGGTTTAGAAGTCCCTGTATACAGACATTAGTTAGAAGCCATGAGACTAGAGGAAGTGGTCCAAAGCACGTAACTGTGAGACTGAGAAGGACAGACCTCAGAAAACAGTATTAAAAGGGCAAACAGAGCAGAAGTCGTGGCAAGAGAAGGAGGAGTGGCAGGGGCTGATTCTGAAGAACGAGACCTGCGGCAGGCACTCCTGGGATTGCAGGTGTTTGCAAACTTCCACTCCTTGACATACACACTGCAGAGTGCTTGGTGCTATGCACGCGAGGAATGACCCAGTTGTCAAAATGCCCCATAAACACCTGTAGGTAATGTAAAAGAAAGCGGCACAGCTCACCTGCGTTCCAGCTCTTCCTTTTGAGACACCGGGTGACAAACAAAACAACAGCAAAAAGAAGGTTTCTCACCCCATCAAGACAACCACTGGAAGCCCTGGCCAATGTGGCTCAGTTGGTTGGACATTGTCTGGTGCACTGAGAGATTGCCAGCTTGATTCCCAGTCAGGGCACAAGCCTGGGTTGTGAGCTCGATCCCCAATAGAGGGTGTGCAGAAGGCAGCCAATTGATGTTTCTCTCTCTCTCTCTCTCATCAATAAAAAAAACATAATTTTCTAAAAAAAGACAACTACAACTACAGTAGAGAGATGCTTTCTACTCCAGGTGGACACACACAGGAGAGCGAACCCAGGGAAGCAGCGGACAGCCAACCTGCAACTAGGAGGGGTGTCCACTAGGGGTCAAGCGGACACTGAAGGGAGAAATGAGAGAAGGAAAGACACTGGGCTTGTGGCTTCATCACTGAAATGCTAGCTCGGAAGCCAATAAACTCTACTTTCTAAGTGAATTTCAGACAAGCCTTCACCTTTTGCCATTAAAGGATTCCTAACTGACAAATCCATTCTCTAATCCATGACAAATGGCTCCAGTCAAAAGCACTGGAGTGGGCAGGGCTTTCAGCCTCAATGATATCCTAAGCTCAAAAGAATGTGTGGGCGGGCAGGTGTTGTGAGCATGGACGTGAGATAAGGTACAAATCTGCAGGCAAAGCTGATGTTGCCTGGGGAATCCAGCCAGTCAAAGGAGAAAGCCCCTCAAAGAGACAAGAACTGAGAGCGGAGTCGCATCTGCTACTCACGTGTCTCTTGTCGGCGTCTGTGCCATGCTGGCCCTGGAAGCACGCCGTCAGGCGCTTGTGAGAGTGGTGGCACATTGACCGCACCGCATCCAGGCGCCGTTCGATCTGGCAAAACAGAGACAAATGGGCCATGTGCAGGGCTGAAGAACAAACTCAGCCTCTTCCTTATGTGGCGCCGGCACTAGGCAGGGAAGCACCCTGCAGTCAGATTTGTTGGCTCCTGGTAAAGATGCGAATGGTTCCTGTCCACTGACACCAGTAACTGTGGGACGTGGGGAACTGTCCTGTGAATGACAGGATGTGTGGCATCATCTCTGGCCTCTATGTACTGGATGTCAGTAGTTGTGACAACCAAAACTGTCTCCAGAAAATGTCCAATAACCCCTCAGAGAGCAAAGTCACCTCTGGGTGAGACCCACTGACCTCCCTCATTCTGAGGGCTTTAGATCCCCGAGATGCTGAATCTAAACCTGCCACAGAAAGAGCAGTGGGAGTGATGGCACACGCCACAGCACCAGGAATGGGCCAGGTCCAACCTCCAGCGCAGACCAGGCCCACTGCGGGGAGGGAGAAGCCGCAGGGCCCTCAGCAGCTCTCCTGCACATGACAATGTGGCCACCCACACAGCAAGCAGAAGAGACACAGCAAATGTCCACACTTTAACTTCAGGGTCCGTGTTTTCAAAACTATTCCTTATTGTGCGTGGGGTGGGTTTTTGTCTTTATTTTTGAAATAAGCCTCTAAAGCAGAATGGCAGCCAGTAGTAAGAAACACTGACTTAAGGGACCCCCGCATCATGACTCGCTTCCCAAAATATTACTGCTGGGATATGGCCATTTATGGCAAAGGAGCTGCTTTTTACAGGAAGGAATGCCAAAAATGTGTATTCTGATGACTCACTAAGAATGAACAGGCCCTTAGGGATGCTTTCTATTTTAAAGAAAAATCAACAAATTCAAAGCAGAATACACTTTTGCCCAAACATTTTACCCAATGAGGAGGCTCTGTGCCCCTTTCCCTAAGGCCCTCACGCACGGAGCAGCTTTCGTCCACAGGCAAGCCCGGTGGGTCACCAGGGCCCCGGTCTGGCAGGCACGTTTATATTTAGCAGCAGATGCCGCCTCAGCTTCCCCAAAGCTTACAAATGGCCAGATTTTAAAACAGAAAACTAATACACACGCTTCACTTGCCACAAACGCCTGGGGGAAACCCCCCAAAAAACTCCATTTCATTCTGACTCCCATTTGCACTAGAATGTACAGTCGGTGGGGACAAGGCTGTGGCCTGTTCTGCTCACGCCATATCCCAAGTACCTGGAGCGCGTCTGGCACACAAATGGAAGGTGCTCACTCACTATCCGTTGAACGGACACGTATCTATTGAGTCCCTGTGCAGGGCATTAGAAAAAGAGCAGTACATACATGGTGGCTCCTGCCTCCTGGGAATCACAGTTGCCACAGGAAACAACATGCAAGCTAAATAAACAGGCAGCCTCTTAAACAGCTCTCACGGAGACCCAAGAAAGGATGCAGGGCAGCGATTTTCCACCGGTGTGCCACGGCAAGAATTTTTCAAACATGCAATACCAGGAGTCCTGACCTCTTTTCCCTTAGATCGTCAATGAAAAAAAATGACAACAGCCATCCAGTGTGAATGAATCAAAGGTATACCTATTTTTTGTCAGATGGGCAAAAAATGTAATTTTTTTTTTTTTTTGGTGTGCCGCATGATTGTAATTAGTTTATGTGCGCCATGACATGAAAAAGGCTGAAAATCGCTGACGTAGGGGGACACAGAGCAAGTTAAGGGAAATTTCACACCAGAAACAAAATCATCTCTGGCCTGCAACAGTGGGAACAAAACGACACACCACCCTTCAGCAGGGCCATGTGCCGGGCTCCGCGCTCCACCCCATGCTCTCCCAGGGTTAACTATGAGACGGATACAGCGATCACCCGCCTTTCAGAGAACTGGAAACTGAGGCATGGGGTGGTTAAGTAAATCCCCGAGGCCGCAGAGCTAGGCAGGGGCAAACCTGGAGTTCGAATCCAAGTAGCTGGACACCGAACTCCACACCTTTAAGACTATTCTCCCTCTCTACACTCAAAAACAACAGAAATCAAAAAACATCTGCAGCAATTATGGCGGACAAGGTTATCTGTGTCAAAGTAAGGAGTTCCTAGAAACTGGCAACCTCTTCAGCCCAGCAGATGTTTGGGCAAAGGGACAAGAACAGATGGCTGCTGCCTGCGCTCCAGGGCAAGGGGCCGCTGGCCTCATCTCAGGGCTCCAAGGATTAAGTGAGGTAATGTATGCCACTGAGGTGGGGGTGGGCGGGAGAATACTGACATTTATGAAAATGAGTGTGGTTAAAGCTTACCTGGACCAAACAATACTTCTGAATGTCTGAAAATGAGTTAGAAATATATGACAAATAAAACATTGGGAAAATATTAAGACTATAATTCTTTAATAAATCTTGGGGGGGAGGGGGCTTCTAATCCTTAATGAAAACTTCCAGTCCTCCAAAAATAAAAAAAATAAAGAAACGAAACTGTGCTCTTAAAATATTCTACTGCAAACGGCTGTCATAATTAGGACGTTGCGGCCTGATGTGGTAGAAGCAGCATTTTTTAAAAAATTATGCGCCTTCCCTGCACAGGGAGAGAGTCACCGGGGGGCAGGCCTTTGGTCCTCAGGGACGCCCCGGAGCAGACGGCAGATTACAGAAATGAGACGCAAGGAGGCAGGTGAGGAGGGCTCTGTCCTTCCTGAAGTATCTGGTGTGGGTGGGGATGGAGTAGGGCAGGGTGAAGTGATATGTATCAAGGGTCCAGGGCCTTCAACCCACCCCTGAAGTTAGGGAGACCATTGAGAGATGGAGGGGAGCGGACCTGGCTCAGGCCCTGGGCAGCAACGCCTCTCCCTACGAAGAGGAAAGAAAGTTTGAGCTAATGACTTGAGGCCACACCCTACGCCTCATGGTGATTCTGACACATCCAGTCACCTGCCACTGAGACCCTAAGTCCCACAGGGCCCAACTCAACTCAGTCGGGGAGCCAGATTGTAAGAGGGCGCAAGGAGTCAAAACTCTAGGCCCTGGCTGGTTTGGCTCAGTGGATAGAGCGTCAGCCTGTGGACTGATGGGTCCTAGTTTCCATTCTGGTCAAGGGCACATGCCTGGGTTGCGGGCTCAGTCCCCAGTGGGGGGTGTGCAGGAGGCAGCCAATCAATGATTCTCTCTCATCACTGATGTTTCTATCTCTCTCTCCCTCTCCCTTCCTCTCTGAAATAAATAAAAAATAAAAAAACTCTAGGATGAGCCCTGGCCACATGTGTAGTTCAGTGGTTAGAGTGTCTGCCTGCATACCGAAGGTCAACAGCACATACCTGGGATGCAGATTCGATCCCCATCCCCAGGTGGAGTATGTGTGGGAGGCAACCAATTGATGTATCTCTCTTACATTGCTGTTTCTCTCTCTCCCTCCTCCCTCCCTTCCACTCTCTCTAAAAAAAATCAATGGAAAAAAATATCCTTGGGTGAGGTTTAACCAAAACAAACAAAAAACCCCACACAACTCTAGGCTGAAGCCAGTGGGGCCTCTGCTGCAGCTGGCAGGGCCTCTCCCATCAAAGGCCTCATCACAGCAGCAAACTCCAGCCCCTCGACCTGCCCAGGACCTGTGACCGGGCCCCCACCCCCACTCCAACACCTGGCGCTAGAAAGCAGGGCCAGCCCCTGTGAACAACACAGCGTGACCAGTTTCACATCTCTTTATCACCATGCAACTCAACGGCCGTTCTTTCCTGCTCAAACCATGCTAACCAATGTCATTCTGCTTTAGGCTTAAAAAAACCCCCATAAGCTTCAGCTCTCACCTATGGATTCTTTTTTTAACATGCCTTTAAATAGGACATTTTAAAAATACTTAATTTAGTTACCTGTAGCAGATCTTCACTGAGGACTTCTGTTTTCTCAGCTCTGTAGGGAAAATTAAAGTTCAGAGTTAGAGATCCAGAAATGAAAAGCAACTCAGGACAATTAATAATTATTACCCCAGAATTTAAAACAAAACAGGCAGACATGAATGTAACAAGTGGAGAAATTCTACCAATTTTTACATCAGAGGACAACTTAAGCAAAACCTGTTGTTTTTTTACTATAATCTAAGTGCCATTTGGACTCCTGACTCAAATAGTGATTTAAACCAAGCCATTTAACAAACCTACCAATTCTCTTGGAAATAAACAAGGACATTTCTAAAAGAAAGGAAAAAGTCTGTTGCAGTCCTCAATATTGAGGAGTGGCAGAGAAAGGGAAGGCAATGAACCAGGAATCTGAGCCTTTGTATAAGATACATTGCAGAATGGAAGTGCTTATCTTGCCCAGGAACTATTGCAAGAAAAGGAAAAGCCATGAACCCAGAAAGTGAATGGAATCCACTAAAATGACCTCAAAACATTGCCGGCCCAAAAGAGCACCAGCTGCCACCAGTATGGTGGTGCACACCCCCAGCCTACGCGGAAAACCGAGACTGCCACAGAGGTCTCCAATACCCGCTGCCACAGCAGTGCCCACTGACTTGGATGGCCACGGGAGTGGCTCCCGCACCAGTTTCTGCAAGAAACCGAACTCTGATCTGACTCCAGTATCTCCCAGGTCTAGAGGAGCAGGGCCTGCAGCAGGGCAAGGCCCTGGCTCCCGAGGAGGCCAACCCTCAGCTCTCTGAACAGGTCCTGCAAGCAGCAGACCAAAATATGCCAGCCTAGAACTCACTTAGCATGCAGGGGGCCAGGCATTGCTGAGGTGCCAAACACAGGTAGTCAAGCCAGTTAGGAAAGTGGAGGCCAGGACTCAGCTGGCCTATGAGCTCAAGGAACCAGTCTCAAAAAGAACCCCAGCAGTCAACTAACAAGGACAAACCTGGCATGAGACCGCCGCAGCTTCCCGCCGTGCGCCTGCGCCCCCTAGCCTCTCCCTGTCTCTAGCAAAGCACCTCCAGGGACTGTGGGACTGGGACAGTGTCTTCTCTGGCCAACACCCAGGGACCTGAGCCGGGCCCTGCACACCTTGGCAGAACCTCTGCACCTCTGCCCTCTGCGAGGGTAAGTGTACACACAGGAAACTCCCAACTCCCATCAGCATACAATGGACCCTGAACAACAAGGGTTAGGAGCAGCAAATACTCCGACAGCCAGAAATGCACAGACAACTTTTCACTCTCCCAAAGCTCACTAACAGCCTACTCAACCAGAAGCCTTGCTGTAACAGCTAACACATACTTTGTATGTAATATGTATTGTATACTGTATTCTTATAATAAAGACAGAGAAAGAATATACACTTTTAGTATTTACTAGTATTAAAAAAGATCTTTAAATAAATGGGCCTGTGCAGTTCAAACCCGTGTTGTTCCAGGGTCAGCTGTATTCATAAGTTCAAAAGAAGAGATTCAGAGCAAGTATGTCCTCTTATGAAATGAACTTATTTTATATATTTATTTTTTAATATATTTTTATTGATTTCAGAGTGAGGAAGGGAGAGGGAGAGAGAGATGGAAACATCAATGATGAGAGAGAATCACTGATTGGCTGCAGCCTGCAGACCCCACCCTGGGGATGTAGCTTACAACACGGGCATGTGCCCTGACGGGGAATCGAACCGTGACTTCGATGCTCAACCACTGAGCCAGGCCAGGTGGGCTGAAATGAATTTATTTCAAAACTGTAACAAAAGAGGAGGGAAGCGTGTGTTACAATCCCAGTGTGGGATGTCAGCAGGAGTGTGCTGGGATTCGCATAGGATAACCACTGCGTGCAAATTTCCTAGCTCCTTGTTCAGGGGCCTCACAGTGGTAATTTGAAAAGAAAAATAAAAAACAATGCAAATAAGCACAAACAATACAAATCAGGGCTTTTGTGGGGTAGGAGGGGATTCAGATGTTAAAACATTTATGGGCACAGCACTGCAATAGCCACACGCACAAAAAAGCAAGTATTTAACTTCAGAAAAAAAACCCAGAAAGTCCATCAGAAAGATAATCATAGTACACTACTATGCTCACCTTCAAATAATTGATTCGCTGTGATAACGAATAGTAATAAATCCAAAAGTTGTAATGTAACTGTATTGGCAAGATAGGGAGCAGAAGCAGAGAGGAAGGTTACACAAGAACCCTAAACCATCATTTATCATAAGAGGTCAATAAATTATACCTAAACTTGATAACTCAAAGGGTAGCAGTTTACACATATTTATAAACATGAACGAGTAAATGCCGGAATAAACAGCTACAATGTGAAAGGAGTTGCCTCTTTGGTTGGGGAATCTCAACTAGGAGAGTGGGGTGTGTGGGGGAGAACTCACTCTACTTTGTGATAAGCCTTTTATGGTATTTGACTTTCTAAACTACACAGATACATAGTTTCAAATTTTTAAAAATAATGTTAGTTACATTTTCAAGTGACATGCTTGATCTGATTTTAAGTGAAGCATAATTCTACTTTAAAGCACTGGGTCCAACCGCCAACCTACAAAAGTACAACAGAACACATACCTCAGAGTATCCAAAACACAAGGCAAATCAGCATTATTTTCCCACTTACAAATTAACAACTGGACCCTTTGCTTTAAATTTAGAGGCCTTTTACCTCAAAAAGGTATCTGGAGGCTGAAAAATATATGAAAATGTGTACACGCTGTTCAAAAATAAATTTGCACTATGTCTCCTGCCTTTGTGGACACTGTATATTGCATTGATAAAATTTTAGAAAGATTTCCAATGCATCTTCTTAACCAGATTTTAGGGTTACTGAAATTATTTAAAATTACCTATAATCAGAAGAGATTACTTTTTCTCCCAGCTTTACTGAGGTATAATTGACAAACAAAACGATATCTATTTAAAGTATACAATGTGATGATTTATTTACACTGTGAAATGATTATCACAAACTCATCTGTCACCTCCTACAGTTACCCTTTTTGTTCCAGTTGTAAGAATGCTTAGTAAACTTCCAGTATATAATACACTATTACGAGCTGTGGTCACCATGCTGTACATTAGATCCCAGAACTTACTCATCTTACAATTGAAGGTTTGTATCCTTTGACCAACATCTCCCCGTTTCCCCCACTCCCTAGCCCATGGCAACTATGATTGTACTCTCTGTTTCAATGAATTCATTTTTATTTTTATTCCACATGTAAGTGAGATCATAGTTTTTGTCTGTGTCTGGCTTATTTCACTTGTATATGTCCTCCAGGTTCACCATGTTGTTGCAAATGACAGGATTCCTTCTTTCTCGTGGCTGAGTAATATTCCAGGATGTGTGCGTGTTCCATCTTTGTCCTTTCACACAATGGTAGGTCGTTTTCACATCTTGGCTATTGTGAATAATGCTGCATTGAACATACAAGTGCAGATATCTCTGAGATACTGATTTTATTTCCTTCAGATATATACCCAGAACTGAGATTGCTGGACCATAAATAAGGTAGTTCTATTTTTAATTTTTTGAGGAGCCTCCATACTGTTTTCCATGGTGGCTGTACCATTTACACCAACAGTGTAAAAGTGTTCTAATTTCTCCATATTCTACATTTGTTATTTCTTGTCTTTTTGATAACAGACATCCTAACAGGTGTGAGGTGATATTTCACAGTGGATTTTCATATACCTGTTAGCCATTTATATATCTTTTTTTGAAAAGTGTCTGCAATCATACACCCTTTAGAAAAATGTCTACAATCATGCCCTGCATAATGGCGTTTTGGTTAACAAGAGACAAAACACACACACACACACACACACACACACACACACACACACACCCCGGTACTCCCATAAGATTATAATGAAGCTAAGAATTCCCATTGCCTGCTGATGCTGTATCATCATGATGCTGTAGCCATTGCGACGTAGTTGCATAAAGCTTGCAAAAATCAACAAGGCTGTGGTGGAGATGGCAATAACTTAAACCTGGGTGTGGAAGAGGGTGACACAGAAGAGCTCGGAGAGGTGGTTCTGGAGGAACTGACTAATGAGGAGTTGTTGGAACTGAACAGGAATACAGCTGAAGAGGAGGCAAGAGAAAAGGAAACTGCAGAAGAAAAAGAACCCCAAGAAAAGTCACAGTGAAGGGTTCGATTCAGCAGATGTTTTGGCAGACCTCAACCAGCTCTTTAAAATGTTTTAAAAACATGAACCCCAACACTGAAAGGTTTTCATTCATAGAGAGGGAATGTTCATGGTACATTATCTTCTAACAAGCAAATCTATGATGAAAAAAAAGAAACAAACCAAGCAAAGCACCGTGGACCTACTTCTGAAAAGTGACACTGCCTGGCAGAGAGCCAGGGGCAGGTGCTTTGGGAGGTGCTCCAGAAGAAGGCATTGTTATCAAGATGACAGCTCCATGCGTTACCACACTGAACACTTCCAGTGGGCAGGAAGCGGAGGTGGAAGAGGTGATCCTGGCCCTGTGTAGGCCTAAGCTAATGTGTGTGTTTGTGTCTTCGGGGGTTTTTGTTGTTTTTTTTAAAAAATATTTTTATTGATTTCAGAGAGTAAGGGAGAGGGAGAGATAGAAACATCAATGATAACAGAGAATCATTGATCAGCTACCTCCTGCACGCCCCCCACTAGAGATAGAGACTGCAAGCTAGGCATGTGCTCTGACCGGGAATCAAACCGTGACCTCCTCCTGGTTCATAGGTCGATGCTTAGCCAGTGAGTCATGCTGACAGTGTCACAACCATTACATCATTGCCAAGACCAATTTCAAAAGGCTTCCCTGTTTTCTTCTAGGAGTTTTAGGGTTTCAGGTCTTACCTTTTACTCTTTAATCCATTCTGAGTTAATTTTTGTGAGTGGTATAAGGTAGGAGTTCAGTTTCATTCTTTTGCATGAAGATATCTATTTTTCCAACACCATTTCATTAAAGAGACCATCCTTTCCCTATTGCATATTCTTGGTG